GGCGTCCGGGGGGGCGCGGGGCGCTGCGATCGAGGCCACGGCGCTGCCTGCTCCTGCAGGCGCAGAGCCGCGGGCGCCTCCGCAGAGCTCCCTGGAGGCCGGAGGTGCCGCAGGGCAGGGCCCCAGAACCAGAGAACCGTTATAACATGAGAGAATCCTGGTTGGAAAAGACCTTCATTACCATCGAGTCTGCCCGTAGACCCTTCGACACCCTGCCTGCTAAACCACGTCCCCCAGTGCCTCATCTCCACGTTTCCTAAACACTGCTGGGGACAGGGACTCCACTGCTTGCTTCCCTGGGCAGCCTGTCCCAACCTTTAACCACTCCTTCTGTGCAGAAATCCTTCCTAACATCCACCCCGAGCCTCTCCTCGCWCAGCCTGAGGCCATTTCCTCTTGTCCCGTTTTGGGTAGTTTCCCTGGAGAAGAGACCGACCCCAGGTCCCTGCAGCCTCCTTTCGGGTCGCTGTGGAGAGGGCTGAGGTCTCCCCCAGGCTCCTCTTGGCCCGCCTGGCTCCCGGCAGCTCCCGCAGGCGCTGGGCGCCAGGKCTGAGCCGCAGCCCCGTCGCAGCCTCGCTGCCCTTGTCTGCACACGCAGCGCGTGGGGCAGCTCCGCGGCGCGGGGCAGAGCTGCTCGCCCTGCTGCTCCTGCCCCGCSGCCCTGCGCGCCCCGCGGGCTCTGTCCTGCCGCTGCCCGCAGAGCGGGCTGTGCGTTCGCCTGCGCTCACGGGCTCTGGTGGCCTCGAGCTGCTCCACAGCACATGTGTGTGGAGCCACAGAGCTGGGAGCCTGCTGTGCAGGCAGCGGCGTTAGAGTCCACTCTACGTGTGGGCATCTCCTGCAGGTTTGGGACAACATTTGTCGTTCTGGAGCACAGCAGGGAAATGGTCTGTGTTTGAGGAAGGCCCCTTTGGAAAAGGAGCTCTTTTCTTCACCTGTCCCCTGTGTTTCTTGTGCAGGTGGGCAGTGGGCATGGATCTGGATCTGGATGGTATTTCCTCAGTGTCGTCTCTGCAGTCCCTTGCCAAGCTGCTTGGTGATCCTCCAAAAGATGATGAGGATGATGACGATGAGTGTGGGGTGAGTCTTCTGCAAGAAAAATTGCTTCTTCTATGTGTCCTACCATAATCTCAGCTCCTTAACTACGCAGCATTTGGCGTTTCCCAGTGTGGACAGAACTGGGCACTGCAGTGCCATAGGCACGTGGAGCTGGTAAATCCTCATTCCAAGATGAATGATTGTCTTTCCATTATTCCAGTTCATCTCAGCACTAAATGAAATCCACAGCATCTAGAAGATGTCCTTTGTTTCCACAATGCCCTAGTGCTGTACATTGTATACGGATATGTCTGCAGGGAGCAATGTCTGCGTCTGTGAGGCCCAGGAGGAAACACAGGCGCCAACAATCACAGTGCACAAGGCCACAAGGAATGTTCCAGATTCCTCGAAAAGCCTCTTAGGATTTGAATGAGTCTTGTTATGGCCCTGCTAACAAAAATGGCACATGTCTCATTTCCCCTGAGCTTTCCTTGCTGTASATGGTCCACGTGGTCCTTCACATTTTAACTGCCCTTCAGCACTTTTATSTTTGCTTTTAAAGCTAGTGTTGTTGCTGTACATCTTTGCAGTAAACATCCACATTTTAAAGGAACTTGTTTACATCTTATTAATAAAAATGAATAACACTTCAGAGATGGAGATGAAAAATTGCCACAAGTGATGTCAATTAAGCCTGAGTCAATCTTCTGGGCAATTTGAAATCTTCATTTTGATTTAACRGAATGTTCTGTGCATATAAGGCATAACTATCACGGCAAAACATCTTCAAATATATAGAAATGCCTCATGTTGGCCTATTAGCACTAAATTGATTCATAATTAGATTAAAATGTTGTTGCCTCAAATGATCTTTAGTGTTAATAGGAATCCAAATGCTGTGATGAGATTTGCATGTAGCACCCCAGGCTTATTGCGGTGTTTTAATGGCAGGCAAAGCAAGACTGTTCTGTCAAAATGCCATGGAAACTAACACTCAAAAAATAGTGCATGTGTCTCTGAGACCATTCATTGGAGGTCTGTTTAAACCCAGTGTATGAAGATCACTCTGCTGAGTGAGAGTGAGGAAGAGAGCACGATCCATAGTTCAGTTATGAAATGTATCAAGTGGAGAATATTTGTGGATTCCATCACTGATTTGATTGACCCTGATAATATTGTTGCTGGATGTTACTGTTATTGATCTAGGCCCTGTAAAAAATTGTTTGTTTTTGTTGCAGCCACACAGCTCTGTTAGTGCCATGGGTCCTGGGAATATCGGACCAGTAAAGAAAGAGACTGCTGGTAAGTAGGGCTGTTCGTACAGTTCAACATTCCGTCACACATTGGGAAAATAAACAGCCATCCTGGGAGTTCCTGCTGACACAACTGGCTGCAGGAGTTGAATGGTCGCTGGCCTTTGACTTGAGAGGAAAGTAGCACTGCTATTTTTATAATTACACAGTGAAACATGTCCTGAAACACATCTATGAAGGGCAGTTTCATGAGGTAGAAATCTCAAGCGGAGAAGATGCACAGGGTACATAACACAGTCCGATCCTGAGCTGAGGGGAACCACAGCTGAGCAGCGCAAAGCTCTGTGTAAGAACTGCCATGGAATTGTTAGTGCTTCCTCGGGGCAGACAGGGACAATGGGCTTTGAAATACTCCTCTGAAAAGATCTTCACCAACTAAACTGTGGACCTGAATTCATCCATCTCAGGAAGATGAAAAGCCACTAAGTGCACCATGGGGCAGACATGCCACATGCCCCTCAAAAGTCTCATAAACCTATTTATACAAAATACTGGTAGAAAAATAACTACTACTAATTTCTTTGCCAGGAAACCCAGGGCAATTAAGGTGCTTCATCTGGCTCCACGTGTTCTGGCCACATGTAGAAAGACAGACTTTCAAACAAGAAGATCCAAAACCTTGAGAGCTCATAAATTTGTTTCTGCACCTTGGATTGTATCTGTGAAGGAAAGAAACCCAAATACAGTTTTAGCAAAGTTGATATAATATCCTTRCTGGAGTTAATACTGTCACATATTGGCCATATATGAGCTATAAGAAAGATCACCAGGAAGGACTAGGATGAGCACAACAAACTGTAGCAAATAAAATGGACTGGTCTTGCTTGGAAATCCAAAAATAATCAGAGAYCTGACTATAAAAACCTTCAAGTTGAGGACTTAGCAGGTGAATAAAAAATACACCTTTTTTCCATGTTAGAGAGACATAAACCATGCTATTTTGTCAAGGAGCTGTCAGTGAACAACGTTCATGAGTCTTCAGTACCTTGTCTGATAGTTAATGAGTAGTTAATGGTAAGAAGTGGATTTATATGAGCAGAAGAGATCCTATTGTGAACATCTCTGCTCACTTAAAATCTCCCACCAGAGGGCTTGAGAAAAGATATACATTTCAGGTACTTTAACATTACCCATTTTTAATGCTATATATTTTAGGCCTGAAAGCAGGATTTCCTTTACAGAGAGGTTGAATAACGGAGATTTAAGGGAACAGAAGTGAAAATATCCTCCATTTCCCAATTCTCATTCATATGGTATTCATATAATGCATCTTTGTATCAAAATTATAGCCTAGAAAAACATGTGTTCTCAAAAAACCTTCTAAAAKATGAGAGTTTCATTTCTTATCACCAGTTGCAGGTCCTGCTCAAGTGAAATCTGAAAACAGTAAAACTATTTGGAGTGCAGAAGAGGTCCCGGAAGGATCAGAATATGAGGACACTTGGGATCCTCGGGAGCAGCCAGAGTAAGTGCCCGCRCGGCAGCGCAGAGGTCGAGGGCGGTTGCTGAACAGCAGCCCGTGGGTTGCACTGCAGTGCAGCCATGGGCAGAGCTGGCAGCAGCGTGCCCAGGGAGCCAGCACTGAGGGCTGCCTTGGCAGCAGCACCCGGGGCACAGCGGGTTCGCAGTCACCTATATCTCTTACATAGGCACATGCCCACTGGAGACCTGGAGGAAACTTTTGCCATGCACTTCTTTTGCAATAGTATAGAGAATGACTCCATTTACTGTATTCAGTTTACTAGGAGTAGTATCTAAATATGATATTTAGTTCTATTTCCTCATTTGTTAAATCTCAAAGCGTAGGAGAACATGGTTTCAGATTTTGCAGCTTTCAGAATTAGACAAATTAATTGATTTSAATGACAGGACAGAACAGAGTCAGAGATGCAGTTGTTCTTTTCCCAAGATACTGTGTTGGGTGACAGTCAATAATTACCATATTCACCTGCCAAGGCTCCTTAGTGAGGTAGAGGAGGTAAAAGGAATACCTTGGAGGGTACTGTGAGTGTTCTACGTGTTTTACAGACAAGTGTAAATAAAGGATAAAACAAAATACAAAAGCTCATGCAGATGGACTGAAGGCTTGAAGGGATGACTGGCCAGGGGGAGAGAATGTTGAGCATTGATATAAGGGTTTATGGTCAGTCCTGTGGGAAATGCAGCCTCCTTTGGTGTCCTGCCCTTTCTCCAGGGTGGTGTGAAGCAACTAAGGCTCCTCTCTGCCCTCAGGTATGAGATTCTGTTCAAGCAGCGGGTGGGAACAGAGGACATGTTCCTCGGGATGAGCAGGAAGGACGCGTCCACAGCCTGCTGCGAGGACATGGTGGTAAGTGGAGCCCGGCCCCTCTGGAGCCGGCCCTGTCGCCGCCTCCTCTGCGTCCTTCCCGCTTCCCAGAGCGTGGAACCGAAGCCTCGCGCAGCACTGCAGCTTTGGGCCTCCTGAGGCATTTTCTGGTATCTCTGCAGACACTTCACAGAGTCACGGAGTCAAGTTACAGGGATCGSATCTTTTCCCATCCATTATGTGACSCGGGACTTTGCTGCTTCCTGAAGCTCAGGAGAGACACAGCTGCTCTCTGCGTTTTSTAGCTGCAGCAAGCTGCCAAGAAACAGGCTTTGGGGAGGACGGAAATACCTGTCCAATCTATTATCAGTTCAAGATTTTGTAGAAAATAAGGTGTCGATGCATAACAGCTACTGAACACCATAATTAGCACATTCTCTAATGCAGAGAGCCTGTCCAGAATATTCCTCTTCGACACGAGCATCAAAATGATTATGAAGATATGACAGTTTTTATGGTTTGTAGGGTTGACRGCTAATCTCAGCTTTACTCTGCTTCTTATTTCAGATTAAAATCAAACTTCCAGAGACAAAGTTCTCAGACATCACTTTAGATCTCCAGGATAARGTCCTTGACCTTCGAACCCCCCAAAAGTAAGAGAATTGCAATTGGCAAAGGTGTAGTTAATAACTTATTTAACTGGGAGTTTAATCAAGCCTTCAATAACACACTATGTGGAAAGCAAATGTAAAGATGCAGATCAACGTATTAACTGCACAGGACAAAGAAATACAGATTTAAAAGAAATACTATAGTAAATTCTTAGGCTTATAGTGTGCTAGATCTAAACCCTTTGATACCAGTCTAGKAAGAATAGCCTTAGAACAGTATTTGAAACCGTTTCCTGAAGCAGGAACCCTCAGAGGCCTAAAATGTGACTGCAGCCTTGAAGAACTCCTTGGGAATTTGTTTTCTAGATGTTACTTTATGCACAAATGAAGATAAAACTGGGCAGTTTAGAGGTTAAGAGTGGAACTGCATCTRTGCCTGGTTATGCACACAGAGGGACGGCCTTATTGCCAGGTTGCCCTAAAGAGGTTTCCCTTGGGTTGTTGCATTTAATAGGATGGCTTCATAACTACAACAAAGACAGCAAAGAGCTGGCTGACGTGCTCTAAGACTCCCTGGGATTCTCACAGGCTTCTTCCATATTTCCCARTGTGGAATGGTTAAAAATCTGTTACAGAACACAGAGTTAGCAAAAGAGGCAGCTTTATGCAGTACTGCAGATGTGGGAAAAACTCCTTTTTCCTTTGCAATTCTACTTCTGGTGACTTCTAAACCTTCTAACTAGGCTGCACCAGTTACTTTCTTTATTTACTAGGGAAGAGAAGCTCTTAAAGACACGTGTTGAGGCCCTAGGCATTACTGAGATTTTTCAGCTGCCTACATAGCACCTCCCCGCAGCTCCTCCATCCTCTTCATTGATGGTGCAGGGTCACACAGGAGCAACAACCGTGSGGAGAACCCACAGTCCGTCGCTGGACCTTGTGTCACAGCTGCAACCAAGSGAAGAGCAGAGCTGGAAACATGGCAGGGCCTTGGGGGCTGCAGGTCCCCAGCCTGTCCTGAGTGGGAAAATAGGCTGAATTCCGGTTTCCTGGTATCCTGGGATAGGGGGGCTGCTGGAGTAAGTTGTGGTCCCTTTTCAGTTGCTCACCCAGGCTGAGGCACCCAAACCCACTGTGTCCTGTTTGACAGGAAGCTGTTGCTGCACCTTCCCCACCCAGTGGACAGCAGGAATGGAAAAGCTCATTTTCACTCTGAAGAGGAGATCTTGGAAGTCACCTTGAGGATGACAAGGGAGCTTGACTTCATCAACTTTGCCTAACGCATAAAGAAGTTGGAAAAAAATTCAAAAAGGATCCCTGTCCATTTGAAATCTTCTCAAGTGCCAGTCATCAAATAGTAGATTGTTCCCCTTGAACAGTCCAGGAGGAGAAGTGCTCCAGCAGTGCTGGAGAAATTAAATGAGTTAGGAGGGAAAAACGAGAAAGGAAAGGACATATTTAAAACACCTAGAGAACCTGCCAGCTGGGGCTGCCCAGCCCTGGCTGCTCTGGTTAACATTGCATTGAGCTTCCTGCAGGGTGGCACAAGGTGAGGAGCAGCACAGGGAGGCTCTGGCCCCACACTGGTGCTTTGAAGCTGTGAGAGCCCAACCTGACTTCCATTTAGAGAAGCTGAGATCCAGGCGAGTCCRGAATTCACTCCTAGCTCTTTCTACATGAGTGTCTGTAAGCTTTTCAGTTTATTTTCACATCTGAGGCTCACTGACAGTGGCAGAAGACGACGCCCTGCTAGACTGTAGAGCAGCTTAGCTCTTTTGAATAATTTTTGGCAATATGTGGTCCAGCGTCATCTATTCACCTGCTCTCCAGCTGCTCTTCTGATCTTCCTTAAGAAAAGTGTGTTTTAATAAACAGTTCCAGGTAGCTTCAACTCTGCCTTCTTTGTATTTATTGTATTCTGACTTTCTAGAGGTTACATAAGAGGAATTTTGAATAACAAAGGTTCGTTTTCTTGAAGGACTGAAACAATTCATTTCTCTAATTTATAAGAAGTATATGGAGATTTTTAGGGCAGTGTATTTTCCAATTCTATTTGGCGAATTTCCTCTCACAAGGTGGCAGAGCAGCAACACAGCTCATCACATTCAGATTTTCTTTCCCCCCAAAATACCCAGTTTCAGAGCACCTGCAAATCCCTGACTCAGTATCTAGTGTCAGGGGTGTTTCTTCTATTTGTCAACTTCTCAGTTTGTCTCTATTTAACTTTTTCAACAGCTCTTTCTAAACTGTATGCATCCAGACACGCAAGCGCATTTAGAAACCAATACTTGACAGTTGAGGAGCGTGAGACTATTGCCGCGAGCTGCCCCACGCGCTGCGTGTGCAGACAAGGGCAGCGAGGCTGCGACGGGGCTGCGGCTCAGACCTGGCGCCCRGCGCCTGCGGGAGCTGCCGGGAGCCAGGCKGGCCAAGAGGAGCCTGGGGGAGACCTCAGCCCTCTCCACAGCGACCCGAAAGGAGGCTGCAGGGACCTGGGGTCGGTCTCTTCTCCAGGGTAACTACCCAAAATGGGACAAGAGGAAATGGCCAAAGTATCCAGTTTCAGAGCACCTGCAAATCTCCGACTTTATATCTAGTGTCAGGGGTTATTTCTTCTATTTGTCCACTTATCAGTTTGTCTCAATTTACCTTTTTCAACCGCCCGTTCTATATTGCATCCACAGAACCACAGAATGGTCAAGTTTGGAAGGGACCTCTAGAGATCATCTAGTCCAGCCCTCCTGCTCAAGCAGCAACACCTACAGCATGTGGCACAGGGCGGCATCCAGGCGCGTTTTGAAGACCTCCAGAGCAGGAGCCTCCGCAGCCTCCCTGGGCAGCCTGGGCCAGGGCTCTGGCACCCTCACAGGAAGGAAGTTCTTCCTCACATGCAGATGGAGCTGCCTGGGGTTCAATTTGTACCCATTGCCCCTTGTCCTGTCACTGGCCACCACTGAGAAGAGCTTGGCCCCTCCCTCCCTGCGTTCCCCCTTCATGAACTTATTAATCAGTCCCCTCTCAGCCTTCTCTTCTCCGAGCTAACCAGGCCCAACTCACTCAGTCTCTCCTCATACAAGAGAAGTTCCAGCCCCTTCATCACCTTTGTCGCTCTCCGCCGGCCCCTCTCCAGAAGCTCCATGTCCCTCTTATACCGGGGAGCCCAGAACTGCACCCAGTTTCCATCCAAACACGCAAGCACATTTAGAAACCAATACTTGACAGTTGAGGAGTGTGAGACTATTTATTTCTATGGAAGGTTCCCCTGTGCAAGGGAACAGCCGATCCCGTAGGCGGCCGGTTGACGGTTCTGGGATCTTGGTCTGAGCTCGGCCGTCGGCAGCGCCGGTCCCGGCGTGTTAACGCTCCCAGGAATGGGGCGTGCGGCCCTCGTGCGGGGCAGGAGCGGCCGGGCGAGGCCGGGCCCAAGGGTGCCTGGCGAGCGGCGCCCGCGCTGCACCCGGCCCTGCGGCTGCGGCTGCTGCTCGAGGCTGCGGGCGAGGGAGCCCCGCGAGGCGCTGCCGGCGCTCAGCCCGCAAGCCCGGGCTCCTCTGGCTCGCCAGTGCCCAGGTGCCCCATGCGGCGGGGCCAGCCCCACGGGCAGGGGCCGCGCGGGCGGGCGGGCAGCAGGACCGGCCGTCCCTGCTGCTGCCACCGGCTCCTCGCG